GGCAAGAGAAAAATTGTAGGATTGTGTTTTTGCTGGAATTAAAAATGGAAAAGTTTGGCCTTGAGTAGGATTTTTGTCTTATGTTTATAATTCTTTCGTTGGTCTACTTTTCTTTTAATGGGGATATTCTTAAGATGAATGAGCTACTGGCAGTCTTTGAATTAGGACCACAATTGAGTTTGGAATTTGGATTGTAAGTCGTAGTGGTCATTAAGCAAGTGCCCAGGTGAATCTCTCTCTCTCTCAGCAACTGTGGTCCTGGCTCTGCCAGTGTGGTGGTTAAGCAGAGTGGAGTTTCTGGGAGGTCTGGCTTGCACTCTGTTTCAGGTCCAGGCCCCACTGCAATCCCTTCCCCCCCCAAGCTCGCATGTGGCTTGCACCGGGCCTCTCAGGGAATATACCATCCCCTGAGATACTCCCTAGACAATGGCAGTTAATGGTGGTGCCAAGCCTGGGCCTGAGCCTGGGCCTGAAGTAGAGATCCAGGCCTAGCCCTAGTGCCAATGCTGCCACTCAAAAAGGCTGTCCACGACACTCCCAGAGAAAACGGTGGTTCCTATGAAGCCTTCATTCTTAAAGCAGCATCCAAGCATGCTTTTTTGTGGTCTCTGAAGTCTCTGAAAATTGCACAAAAGCACACCCTTTTTGAATCTTTGGGCAGGCACTGTCTTTGTTCACCATTGTCGTAATTTTGAATAACCACTGAATGAATGATTGTAAGTTGAGGGCCACCTGTAATCATATACATGATCTTAAGTAATAAGTGATTTTAAGACTACATGGAAATAGTTTAGTGGAAGACTTTGCTTTTCACATAGCTTCTCATTCTTGTTCTCTAATGTTTTATCTTGCTTTTCCAGCTTGATTTTCAATTTTATTGTTATTGGCTTTACAACATGCTGTCTAAATGTGTTCAAATACAGTTTTAAGGTGCTAAATAAAGGGCTACTTACACGCTTCTGATCCATTTGAAAAATATTAAGTATGAAAGTTAGTGCTGATGGTCTCTTTAGTATGTTTTCAGCTATGTTTTAATCTTATCTATTGTGTATAATTCTCTAACATTATTTAGTGCTGATTACATATAAGGTTAATTAGTATTCTGAAAACGAAACTAAAGAAAACTATTATTTCATAAGGAACAGATTCTAATTGAAGACAAGTCAAGTCAGACGGATTTAAGACAATGATATAAATGTTTAGTGTGGTTCACATCAGCATGGAAACATTATGGTTCCTTTTTCTTAAAATTTAAAGAATGCAACCTTTTTTGTTACCAGGTTGCCATGTCCAATGTTTGAATCTGTTTGAAAGTAGTTTTCCAAGAATGAATAGAAACTATTTTGAATTCTTTTAGTATAGTATTCAGTTCCATTGCCGATTTTAAAAAGTACTTTTCTCTGGTATCATCACTAGTGCCACAGGGAGTCTTTTGTCATGTTTGATTTTTGATTCAGGCACCTAGTTGTTTTAAAAATAATGTTAACCACCTGTATCCTGAAAAATTTGTGTCCTTATTATGTAGTGACTGACTTAGTTTTAAAAGAATAGACAAATTCACTGTCAACAATTTTTAAGTAGGAGCTGATCTTAAGCCCTTAGACCAGACACAGCTTATCAATTGCCATCAAACAGGATAACTGTTGCTGTTAGGCTCCTGTTTTGAATTTCTCATGGACAAAAACTTAGCAAGAGATGAAACATTAGATAGATGTCTGGTCTGTTCCAGCAGATCAAATCTTATTTTCTTCATACTCTGTTTGCTTGAGATCTTGGTAAACTGGATTACATATGCTTTTGTCATTTTAGTGTAGCAAGAAGTTTACTTTATAAGCTTGGCTCCTGAGAGGCTCAGGAAATCCTTTCTAATGTCTCCATGGTATTAAAAAAATAGTATATTTTAAAAAAATACCATAGAGACATCAGAAAGTGAAGCTGTTAACAACATGGTATTAGACTACAAGTTATTCTGAATAATTTTCCCAAATTACAAGTTTTGCTATTTTGAATTCTAAAACATACTTCCCAGTGTTCCTGATATCTTATTTATATGGCATCTAAAATATGCCTCAACTTCCTACTTTCTTCTCTATACAGGTTAATTTAAGGTTTCCTCCACTTGCCTTAATATAATTCCCAGACCTTTTATCTTTGCTCATGTAGCTGGCCAAAACAGATTCATGGACATGGCCATTTGTGTATAAAAATAGAATATAATATTAGTATGTTCTTTTCACTGGATTTTGATTTTAATTCTTTCTATATGAAAGAATAATATTATAAAAAATTGAAATAACTACTTAATTCATGGAGCTTTTCAAATTCAGATCTGTGAAAAGATTTAATTTCTGTTACTGAAACTTTGCTAAGCTAAGCAGGTTCTATTTTTTCTTTACTTTTGTCCTTCTATTATTTTGCTCCCTTAATGTGGATTATATTCTAATACATTATTAATTACAGGTAGTCCTCAAGATTCGAATGTAATGGAGTCTGTCCATTCCATTCATAACTCGAGGATTCATAGGAGTAAATGGCATACCTTGAATGCCATCACTCCCTGCTTTCGCCACACATTCGCTAATCAAATGCATGGGTCATTAAGTGCACACAAGGTATCACAGGGTGGGGAAGGCCATAGGGGGGCCTAATGATGGAATAGGCCCCCAGGTCCTCCCCGACCCACTAAGATACCACATGCTTCTGCCTCCCCTTCTGCCATGCCGGATGCACTTACCTTGCAAACATCTGTCTCCTCTGTGCCGCTGTTTCTTTGCCTTTGAGGGAGAGGAAAGTCAGCTAGGAAATGCTTTTCATTCTGAAAATGGAAGTTTCTGGCATCCATGATCTTGCGTGAGTTCAGGCACCTATTCTCTGCAAGAGATCATGGACCTCAGAAACTTCCATTCTCTGCAAAAAGTGTTTGCAGGGCCTGTCTCCTGCCCCTCTCCCTAAAACTCCTTTCGGCCACTGCTGTGGTAGAGATGCTTCCGGCCCGCTAAAATCTGCTGCACCCAGGTCTTTTTTGAGGGCAATCCCACTGCTGCCCCTCCACTTTCTTCAGCTCGGATAGAGCTGGGACACCCTAGCTGCTGGCTGCCCGGGCGGGGCCACCTGAGAGACCATGGTCCCCCCTCCCCAGCCAGCCAGCTCCCACTACCCGGCCTATACCTTGCCTGGCCAGCTGGCCGGCATAAAGTCTTACCGCTCTCCTCCTCCTAATCCTCTTCCTTATCCTCCCTGCTCAAGTGGCGTCAGGCTCCACAGGACAACAGGGTCTCATTCCTTCCCTGGCAGGCTGGAACAGGCTGGACTTGGATGTGAGGGACTGGACCCGCAGTGCCTCCTTGCTCAGTTGAAGGCTTTGTTCCTGCCCTCAAGCAGTAAGGCTGGCACACGTGAGTGAGTTGTGTACCTGGGCCACAGACAGCATTGGTTCCTGCACCCAGCCGATTCCACGGCGACCCTCTCAGCTCTGGCTATGAAGTGGGTTGACGAAGGAGCTCTGTCCACAGCAGATTTTAGTGGGCAGGGAGCATCCCTGCCACAGCAATGGCGGAAAGGAATTTGGGGGGAGGAGCTGGAGGCAGGCATCACAAACACTTTTCGCACAGAAAATGAAAGTTTCTGGGATTCATGATTTTGCGCAACTTCAAACATCCATCCTATTGCAGAGAATTGATGCCTGAACTCATGCAAGATCACAGACCCCAGAAACTTCCATTTTCAGTGCAAAAAGCATTTCCAAGCCGGCTCTCTTCTTCCTCAAAGGCAAAGAAACAGTGACAGAGAGGAGACAGTATTAAGTTATAGCTTATTCGTATTTCTTAAAATCTAAAACATGGAGTGACCACAAGATGTCAGTGCAACAGATCCTATCTTAAGCTGATTGTCTTTTTTTCTGATTCTATTTGAACAGAACATATTTTGTAATCTACTATTGTGCAGTAACTATATATTAAAGATTTAGATATATTGATTTGTGACAAGTATCTTAAACTTTTATTAGAAGGTAGTATAAAATATAGTCACTTAAATTAAATAATTATTAATTCAAAAAGTACTGGTATTTCTTTGTTTCAAACATTTGACTTTGGTTAGATAAGATGTTTTAAAGAATGCTTTTAATCTGTTGATTTTTTATGAATAATAAAGAATGTATTTTGGAGGGAATATTTCATTTGCTGCAGAGTAATACATTATATTTTATCATCTTCCTTTTGGTGCTAGCCAATAGTTTGATAAATATAGCCATTACAATGCTCTGTATGCCATTTAACATTTAAAATGTTCAGCTACATGTGTAGAAGACCTAAGTCTTATCCTAAAATAAAAGTGTTGAGTTTGTATTTAAATCAGATATCACCTTTCCTTGATTTCAACTTTCACCAGACTCAAACCAATTTTAAAAAATCAAGTAGGACATAAACAGTTCCAAGAAATATAAAGACCTACTTCAGAGTTTAAAATGTTAGTTATGAAACAATTTTTAATTATGGAGATCATATATTATAAAGAGCTTTTGCAACATTAGGATTAAAAAACTATTGTACTAAATGTGTGGAATAAAAAAATTAAGCAAAAATATATTCAGACTAAATATATCGTTTTCTAAATAAGGGGATAAAAATATCACCTATTTGCTGGGTAGCTAATATACAGTTACTTTGTTTTAAAAGATGGTGTGAGGTTTTATTCCCGTTACAATTCTTTGTAAAATATTATTTTTTTCTACCTATTTATTTAACATATATCATACCTCTTTTTCTATAAAAAAGCAAAATAACAAAGTAAAGTTGTCATTTTTAAAGAGTTTTGCTTGATTTAGGTAATGAAATACTTTCTATAACTAAATTAAGATCCTGTTTTATGGATTGCTAGCAGTCCTGCTTTGCAATATACTACAGCATAACATTGCTTACTGTAAAGCTAATAAGGTAAAAATATATTTGAGAATGTATCACATATATTGCAATAGGCTCATTCTTGTTGTTTTTCCAAAGGATGAAGAAGAAGAAATAAAGCTGGAGATCAACATGCTGAAAAAATATTCTCATCATAGAAATATTGCAACATACTATGGTGCTTTTATTAAAAAAAGTCCCCCAGGACATGATGACCAACTGTGGGTAAGGACATCTTTCATGAGTGTGTACATAACTCTTTATCTTATATTTTGAGAGCATCAGGTTAAATAAACAGGATTAGAATGCAACAAAGTCTTATCAGTTTGCCTACCGACCAAATCGCTCTACGGAGATGCTATTTCTTCCATTCTCCATCTGAACATGAAGCACTTAGAGCAGGGTTGTCAAACTGCCGACCTGCGGAAACTGCGCCTGCCCACATTGCTGGCAATGGCAAAACTATCCCGATATGTTGTGTGACGTCACGTGACGTCGCGAGTTTGACATGTCTGACTTAGAGGAAAGAAATACTCATGTGTGTTTGTTATTTGTCAACTTCAGTTTGGCATTTAACACAATCATTCCCCAGCATCTAGTAGACAAACTGGGCCTTTTAGGCTTAAACACTCCTTTGTGCAACTGGATTCTAGATTTTCTTACCAGCAAGCCCCAATATGTACGAGTTGGAACAAATACCTCTAATACCATTTTCTTGAGCACAGGTTCTCCTCAGGGCTGCGTCCTAAGTCTGCTGCTATTCACCCTGTCGACCCATGACTGTTGCGCTAGGTTTGCCACCAACCATATTGTGTAGTTTGCAGATGATACAACAGTAGTGGGCCTTATTCATGATAACAATGTGGATGCTTGCCGCAAGGAGGTTGAGGGGTTGGTGAACTGGTGTAAGGAAAGCAGCCTAGTTTTAAATACTGGAAAAACCAAAGAGATCATTGTCAATTTCAGAAAAGGCAGGCACAGCCACACTTCTTTGTCCATTAATGATTCACCTGTGGAGATGGTTACCAGCATCAAACTCCCGGGTATGCAGCTAACGAGTAGGCTGGCTTGGTCGCTCAACAGTGAGACATTGGTGAAGCAGGCACAGCAGCGCCTGCATTTTCTGCATCGCATGAGAAAAGCACATCTTCCTTCTCCTCTCCTTACCACTTTCGACAGGGGGACGATTGAGAGCATTCTGTCATACAGCATCACAGTCTGGTTTGGAAGCATCACTGCTTCAGACAGGAATGCAATGCAGAGAGTGGTGAGGATGGCCGAAAATATCATTGGCAGTTCCATCCCTCCCATCCAGGACATAGCAGAGAAGCGGTGCTTGAGCAGGGTCCATAAGATTATCTGGGATGCTACGCATCCTCTTCACGACCTGTTTTCCTTGTTAACTTTTGGGAGGAGGCTTTGTGGTATCCGAAGCAAAACATTCAGATTCAGCCATAGTTTCCTTCCATACAGCATTAACCTTGTGAACTCTCAAACTTCCTCCTTCCGTTATATATTCAAGATGGACAGTATTTAATATTTATTTGTTATGTATATGTAGGAGTGCGGGTCTGTACATATGTTGTATATAGTATGTTTAGATGTGTGTCATGTATGTTTCATCGAGAGCGGGCAACTAAATTTCATTTTTGATGTGTGCCATTGTGCCCACAGTAAAAAAATGACAATAAAGGTTATCTTATCTTATCTTAATATTCTAACCAAGTTAAAAAATAAATTGTACATTTGTGTGGCACATTCTTATACATTTTTGTGACATGATTTATTAATAGCAAATATTTATTTATACCTGTGTTCTCTAGCAGACCAGCAATATGACAGGAACTGTTATCTTTCTATTCTTAATAGAAACACTCTGTTAAGTTAGGGTTAATTCTTTAGGCACAAAGGTTTTAATGAAATTAGTATTATTACAAAACAAAGAACAAAATGCTTTCCAGAGCCAGGTTGTTACATCTATTTAGACAATCCAATTCTTTGCTTAAAATAAGGAGCTATTTATTTACTTCTATTTACTTTGTGCAACAAAAGTAATCATTGCTCAGTGTTGGACATTTTTTTTAAAACTTTAAAAAAAGGATTTCTCAGCTGCTTTGTGAGAAACAGCGCTCTATGATGTCATGCTGGCCACATGACTGCAGAAATGACTTTGAATAGTGCTGGCTCTATAGGTTTAAATGGAGAGGAGCACCTCCCCCTATAGTGAACAATGTCTAGCAGAGAATTTCCAAAGGCAAGATTTACAATTTTATTGTCTTTTGTAATAGTATATTATTTGTTCATAACAATGTGAAATCTCAGCTGACAGTTCTTTTGTGGGTGTTGGACTTAATATGCACTGAGTTCTTCCCCCAAACCTAAGAACGTATCATGTGTTGGCATAATATATGTGTGGATCCAAACAGCATGGCCTTTTGTAATTGACAGAAATAACGTGAATGCATTTATTTTCTAAGTGGAAACAAAGATTTTTTGGTGTAATACTTAATGTGCTGATAGCCACTAAGACCATTACAACTTGTTTATATCATAATTTTTGACTATTTTTTCAACTATATGTTTCCACCAATTTTTCATTACTAGAACAGATGCAGTACCAAATGTGGTGTAAATTGTTTCAATCAAAGGTCTTCATATATAAGCATCTTAGTTTTTAGTAGTCTTGTAGAAAAACGTAAGAGACTTTTATGAATTCCAGAGAGTTTAGCAGAATGATTTATTGCGCAAGGTTCAGAAGCAGTAACAACAAGCAATTCTGAACACTGAGGGTGGGTTTAAACTACAGTTTTATACTTTCCCTTTCTCAGGAACAAAGGAGCACAAATAGAAATCTACATTGTAATACGTCAGATTCATTTCTCACGTATTAGATTCATTTCTCACGGGCATACAATGGAGAATCTGCTACATATCTTGTTTCCAAGTGCACTGCGCATTTGGTTTGTCACAGATTGCTAACACAGCTTTATTCCAGTAATTATGCAGACACATCATTGTTTTAATGATTTTTCATTATTATTATTATTTCACATTATTCTATATTATTCTACCTTATTCCCCCCTTTGGAAGTTTTCTTGCTTAAATTTCCATCATTCTACTTCTGATTCAGGATCTTTAGTGGGCACCATTTTGTATTCCCATAAAGCTAACATTGTTTCATGTTTTGCAGTTATAATTTTGATTTCTACCTCTGATATTGGGTCGTAGCCATTGGCATCTATTCCTATCCCAAACATCCAGTTTTTTTCTTTCCCATCTATTTTGTTCCAGGAACCAACTTCCATTCTTGATTGTGAGAGTCACCAAATTACAGTTGTCCCTTCCACAGGAGTCTGCTTTTATATTATTCTTTTCAAACCTTCGGGTCTTGGGTATGCCACTTAATGCATGACCACCACTTACATTTGACTGTGGAGACTGCACATACATCCGGTGGGCACAAATACTTATGGTTTGGGATATAGCTGTGGATATGACTGATCCCTCTGCAACCATATATTGCAGCCCAATAATTAGCTGCCTTACAAACATCAAAGGTGACACTAAAACTGGAGTGTGGGTTGGATTTCCATTGAGAGATCCCTAATAGTGCCTGGTCCCTAGAGCTACTTCTTGTTCTATGTGTTCGGATCTGCAAGGCCCAGCTGTCAGACTTTGGGTTATAACACTGATCTTGGACCCCTTTTCTACAAACTTTATATGTTTATTTATTTATGAGACTTATATACCGCTTTAAGTGCAAGCACTCTCTAAGCGGTGTACACCAGTAAGCAATGTATATATATATTTACATTGCCCCCAACAATCTGGGTCTTCATTTTACCTACCTCGGAAGGATGGAAGGCTGAGTCAACCTTGAGCCAGTGAGATTTGAACTGCTGACCTGCTGAACACAGTCAGCTAAAGTGGCCTGCAGTACTGCACTCTAACTGCTGCGCCACCTCGGCTATATGTAGTTCTATTGTATGTACAGGAGCTAGGGGAACTATCTTGGCACCCTTCTGGTTTCATTGTATAATAAATCAAAGTCTTAGTTATCTGGTTTCCTTGTTTTGTAATCTTGATGCAGTTTCGACAACCCTGGTTCCCCTGTGTTTTTGTTCTTTCTTTGTGTATGTATGTTCCCCATATTAAATAACTAACAGATATTACGAGCTGTAGAATCCTCATATCTTCCACCGTGCGTAGAGAGACAGCTTCCGGGGTGTCTCAGCAGGGTTTGTTCACACTGTGTGTTGAGAACCCGTTGCCGGTAGGGTTCGACAGGGTGTATTTCTTGCAAATTTCAACACCAAAGGTTTGTCAGTTTTCTTCACCTTGTAAGTTACTGGATCGGCAGGTGCAGCTGCTTTCAATCTACTCCAGTGGATCCAGGACTTTCCCTCCAAGGTTTTCACTGCCAAAGGAAAACACATAACAACAGCACATGGTCCTTTCCATCTTGGGCTTACGGGGTCTGCTTTCCAATGTTTCACCCATACTCTATCTCCTGGTTTGAACCCATGTGTTGCTGTGACCACTGGAGGGGGTTGTTGTTCCATCATATAATGGCACAAATTTGAAACAGCTAAATTATGAAGCTGTAACTGATGTAACAATTTCTGTTGGTCTATTCCCCCCTTACGAGCCAAGTCTGGCCAGCCCTGACTGTCAGGTTTAAATAGACAAGGGGGACGGCCAAACATGAGCTCATAAGGACTAAGTTGTAGTTTAGTGCAGGGGGCCAGTCTGATTGCATACAAAACCATAGCAAAACATCTGGCCAATGGAAATGAGTTTCCAAACAAAATTTGGTAATGAGGGTTTTAATTGTGCGATTAGCACGTTCCACCCTTCCAGCCGATTGGGGGGCGAAAGGCACAGTGAAATCTCCACTTCATTCCTAATGCCTGGGCTAAAGCCTTGTTAATTTGGTGTACAAATTCAGGGCCATTATCTGATGAAATCCTGGAAGGGCAACCAAATCTGGGAATAATTTCTTTTAGAAATATTCTGGCAACCTGTATAGCTTTCTTATTTACAGTTGGAAAGGCTTCACTCCACCGTGAATAGGTATCAATTATTACTAACAGGGCTACATATTTCTTACTCCTAGGCATATCAGTAAAATCAACAATGACATAGTCCATTGGAAAATAAGCGATTGGTTGTCGATCAGGTGGTACTATTGGTCCTTGGCGTGCATTGGTTTGGGCACAAATGG